GACGGACTCTCGCCAGCACTTGCTGGCCTGGAGGGACCTGGGAATCCACGATGCCGCTTAGTCAAGAAGTGCCAATGAAAGAATCAACAATATCACAACAGCCTTAGAGCTGCTGGGACGACATTTGACTTTGCCAGGGCTAATCAAAGTCCCTACGCTCTGTTCAAGAGTGAGTGCTTTTGATCGACCAATCTTCGATGGCTCGAGAAGGTTGTGTTTCAGGTTAGTCAGTATTCACAGCACATCTAATGGGGCTCTCTGTGCTCAGTCATTCCGTGAGACTTGCACCCCTTTCTCGTTAGGCATCGCACTAAGCCGAATGTTTGCCCGGTCTCAGAAGCCGAGGGTTCTTAAATCATTTCGTTCATCATCATGACTGAAAATCCCCGCGTCATCTGAGTTATTAATTATGTTTCCAACTCACGACTTATCAATATCGCGAAGAAGATACAGGCATGGTCGGCTTGGAAGACTAATACGTTGTATGGAGACCTGTCTTATGTACCTATTGTATAACGGGACAAGGCCAAACCAATGATATCCACTCTATTTGCATTCACTAGTTTGTGGCGTCACGTCACAACTTCCATAACAGAGACTAGCCACTTCCATTCTGAGACCGATTGTTCATTACCGTCGGGAGTTATATTTTGACCGAATAACCCATGGAGAGGGTCTTTCCTGCTTGAAGATCCAACGGCTTTGGGGCAGTGCCATTTGGTTAATTCTTGGCATAATCTGTGTGCTGCGCATTGTCGCTCCTCCAACCACCCTTTAGCAATCTCGCTGCGCCGAGGATTTACATGATGTCGGATTAAGGACCTCCGATCTATCTTCACTTATTTCTTAATGTCGGTTGACCGGTGGCTAGAACAGTTGAACATTATTTCCGAGAACTTCTCGCTCATTGGTTGCTGTGGCTAAGCCCTGCGCAGGTGGATATCTGATTTGATACCGAATGGAGCATTTCCCGAGCCTGCGAATGCACCGAGGCCCACTAGAGAATGCGAATTTTTGCAGAATAACTAGAGTAATAAACGAGCCAGACACTTCCTCGTCCATTTGTCAGACTGCGGAATCAGAACGAAGAAGTACCGCTGGCTTCACATCCACGCGCCGATATGTCATATTTCCATACAGGCAAATTAGTAAAAAATATAGCTAGCGCGAGTAAGGAGTACAAACCCGAGCCAATGAGCACTATCGAAAGAGACCTACATAACTCTTTTATTAGCATTAGGGGTTCGTCAGGGTTTGGAAAAGTTAAACCCCCTGACAAAAGTTCGAAGCTGGTACGAATGTCGGCATTAGCCGGTAGCAGTTGGCAATCTGCTCACTTACCTTGATACCCCATAGTCTTCTTTTTAAGCCACGATGGTCGAAACGTCTGTTCCTAGTAATTACTCGCCCTCACTCAATCAAACTTTGCATTAAAGACACTGTCTCTACATGCTCACTCTTACTACAGGATGGTCCGCAAGCTCATACAATAGGCCCCCTCAGCATATGATCACCCTAGTAACGTAGTGGACAAACTCTCAAATCCAGGTATGGCGAATACCATCAATCTATACTTAAGCATATCACCAGAACCTCCACAGCTTTCTTCACTAGAAGAGACGAGTCGGCTTCATCGGGTCAGCATGGCCCTTAACAGAACTATAGATGCTAATGAGATGCGTATAAAGCTTCTACATCATTTAACGGAGCTTCCAGGCTCGGAAGCAGCTGAACTTGCGCCGGCAAGTTTTTAAAAAGGTACCAAACTCGATACTCTGCTGATGTTTAATCCGGCGCTAGCAGACGTACCTCTTCTTAATACCTTCCGTTATCCCAGCAATTACTAGACCTATCATTCCCACAGACTAGTTTGCCTCTAAACAATGCCATCAAACGCGGAAAACCAACGTTAGCACTTACCATCTTCTATCTTCACGTGGAGTACAAAAAGCGTTTGGAGGACTTTACATCAGCTTTGAGCCTCAGTATTAGATACATGAACCATGTGATCAGCAACGTGATTCTCCATTTATTTCTGGACAAGCCTCTCATTTGTAGAGATGGTCAGGAGTGGCAAATAGTAACGACCAATTTTATATCCGATGTGATGCAATTTCTTGTACTGAGACACCACGAAACGGTAATCGAATGGGAGAGAAGAGCCTACTACATTGCCAGCTACCAAGACGCTCGCGATCAAAGTGTGCGAATGCTGCTGGAAATCGCGCAAGCTCGTATCCCTACTGACTACTTCATATTCAAAGTCTTGTCTGACATCATTCGCGGCGACGACGAATTGTCGTGCCTAAAAATGTATATTTAGCAGATTCAGGAGGTCGAGATAGACCCTGTTGCAAATCTCCAAGACCCAGGGAACATGTGTTTGTCAGAACCACAACAATGGACTATACATCATTGTCAGTATGCATTCAGTCGAATTGCATCAAGTGTCTCGAGCATCTCCTGGCAAAGTACCCGTCACATATAACTCATGAGCGAGGTGATCGTGAGAGAAATTTGCTACACGAAGCATGCGCCCGGGGTAGGAACTCGACCTTTATAAAGGTACTAACCTTGTTGAGATGTGGTGCGGATATCTCTGTTCGGGATTGCTATGGCTGCACTCCACTTCTCTCGGCCTTCATGAACGGCCATCTACACACAGCCTCCTTGGTTGTGTCTCATTGTTCGCCAGATCTAGTGCATGGTTTAGTCACCGAGCCCTCTTTCGAAACTTGCCACCGTTCTCTGTTCTGGTGCACTTGTGGCAACAAACTCGCCGACCGACTTTCAGACACAGTTTAAAATGGTTTGCGTCTCACGGTGGCTCAGAGTTCTAGCTTGCAAGCGAAGGTTAGCTGATTTATAATGCCATCTTCATTGACGCCAGACCATTTTCCCGAGGCAGACAAATCTCGGATGCCAACTTCTTACAAATGCTCCTCGAACTAGACTTTTTCAAAGAGAAGCTCCACACCAAGAGCCACGAGGGCATGACTATATTACACAGCGTGTGTGCTTGTAGGCATGTCGAGGTTGTAAAACTACTACATCGACACCGGATGGATGTGAACACAAGAACCACATACAAACGTGGGATCACGTTGCCAAGTATAACTTATCTGGTTAGGATTACTGTGGCAATGTCAGGAAGGCACAACCCACCGACAATACTCAGAAGGGGGTATGTTGAGCTGACAAAGTGGCGTGATGACTTGCAAGAAATCAAGTGAATTCTTCCTTCAAATCGTAAAAGCGAGAGTGCGGCCTTGTCCCAGATAATCCTACTGGCGAGTAGCGCGCCGACTTTCTCAAGCATCGACAGGAATGGAAAAGCAGCATGCTTCGAAATAATACAGACATGATAGGTGTGTGGTCCAAGCCCATTATCATCTCTATGGTAAACCCTCGAGTTCTCCAGTTGGCATTGAATATTCTGGTGTCGCGGTACTACGAGGAACCACAAGAGCAAGCCGATATTGCTCTTCTCGAAGTATCATCAAAGCGAGCGCGACTAGCTAAGTTTAGTTGGCGATTGCTACCAGGGTGGAAATATCCTATCATTTCCCCGATTTTAGAAGACTTAGAACAGGAGCAGGTTCTCTATCTGCACGAACATTTCGGAATCCTCACTTACAAGAGTCCTCGCCTTTGCCGTGGTGTTTATGGGACACTGGTAGCTAAAGGTGATGCATTTAAATCAAGCCAACGCAGCCATCGACCGACAATCGATGATATGGACGACATATACGATGCATCGTCTCGGATCATGCCCGCTATTAGTATGGACATCCCAGAAATTCAAGTTCCGGTTTAAAGAGCTTCGAGAAAAAAGTCGACTCTTCACTCTTTCAATGTTGACAATGACCAACCCAAGTCTCTCTTTCAAGAAAGAATACGAGGTGTCTGACGATGCATCAGGAACCAGTCGATCTCCTTCAAGTCAGTCTACCAAGACAGTTCGAGCGTTCGACATGAATCTGGCTCCGCGCCCCAACAAGGCATCAACTATTCCAAGATATCTCTCCACCAATGCGCCCTATCTGGTGATGTTGAAGGCATTGCGTTCCACCTAGCCAACAGCCTGCACGATCTTGACACGGAGAACGACGGAAGCCTGACACTCCTACTTCTCGCAGTCAAGATTGACCACTTTGATGCTACCAACATTCTCCTAGCGCACGAAGCTCAAGTGGATCAGATTCGTTTCAAGAATGGCCTTCGACCACTCCATTACTGCATGTTGAAGCAAAACACAGAAATTTGTGACCTCCTCCTCAAAATTTATGCAGATTCTATCGGGGCCACATTCGCTGGATATTTCCTTTCACGCTTATGCGCGAGTGCCGGCGATAATCAACATGTAGTCGACGCATTAATCAGTAAGGATGCCCACGTCGACGAACGAACGTGTTCATGGCAGGGCCCCGCTCGCCATAAGAGGACATGCAAAGGTTTGCAACAGTCTTCTGATAGCCGGGGCAAGCTCTGAAGAGGAAGATCCCCTTCTGTATAGCGCTGCTCAGAATGGCCTTGTTGAGATGGCACGCGTCCTTCTGGACGAAGGGATAAATGTTCATCAGCGCGATGAGTTCTTGGCGACTCCCTTGGTGGTCTTTTAGTCTCAGAAGACATGAAGTAGCGCAACTACTTTGCGGTTGAGGAGTAGATGTTTCGATTATGGATGAGTTCAATTTTTCCAAAGAAGCCGTAACGATGGTATAAACGACGAATTTCGTTTTCACATCGCAGATAACGGATCGATGTCTGTTGAACATCTGAACAAGCTTTAGGCAGATGAAGAATGAAACTAGGAGAGCCGGGATCCTGAATTGCTTCCTAGAACGCACACGCATGTCTGATGATTCCGGATATTTTTAGTTTGAGAGCTCTTATCTTTGTTCAGTTACCAATGCCAAGTCCTTACACGCGATATCACCACGGGGACAATCCGTTACATTTCTTTGGTCAATCAGAGGATTCAAATGCCTGTTTGGAGTTAGACTGGTGCTGTGATGGGGGTGGTTTCTTTACGCTAGTTAACACTCGATGGAGTATTTATAGTAATCAGGGCAGAGCAATGATCCATACAGAGTGTACATGCTCTGAAGCCATGAGCGCACACACTTCGCCATTAGTTGTAAATGCCTATCATCGTGATTCTTTTGCTACCCCTGCTGTCACAAACCCGATAATGCTAATAGAGGCCCGACTTTTGCGGTGTGCACATTACATACGACACGTGTCTTCTTGGTTTTTGAACAGAAGGATTTGATTTTCAGTAACTATTCAATGGAAATGCCATGAAAAAATGATTTGGACGCTTATGAGGCTTATCGCATGGATAAGGGACAAGATTACATGTTTAGTCAATCCCTCCTCCATGCCTTTTCACCGAACCAACGAGTGAGCTTGACGGCGTTTACATCCACCAATGCATTGAAGACATCGCTCGCCCACAAGAGTGCAACGGTGTTGACGAGGGTTCCGTACAAGAACGCAAGCCTGTACGCACTCCAAGCCGTTTGCATTAAGTCTATTGCCGCGGCCTCGTTGCCACCCTCTGTAAGTGTTTGAGCCTGGGTTTGAGCAAGCTGCAGCGCGGAATACGCCGGAGACAGCCATCTCACTCCGATTATGTGGTTTATGGCACCATGCCATAGATACAGGGAGTACGAGATGCGCCCTAGGTATTGGGCGAAGCTCGTGGTAAAGGGCCGCTGGAGAAGCGGTTCGAACCTGGCTGCTTCGTAATCTGAAAACGTTGCCGCTGCGAGTTCTTCCTTATCTCTGTCATTGAGGCTAGGACTGGTTTGGTACCAGGGCAAACGAAAGTTGCAAACCCTCAGAAATGAGACATCGAGGTTGAATGATACGGCCGGGGAGTACATCAAGGCAAAGACGAATATGACAGCGCCAATAGAGTTCCAGAAGAGTTGAGTCCGGTCTGAAGTAGCTTGGTAGTAGGCAGGCACCCACTGGGAAATTGTAATGAAACCCGGAGTCGATGAACCGTAATACTCCGGGTACGAGAAAAGATGCAAGCCGAGAAAAAAGAGAGCCAAAGTACCGGCGTGACGAAAGATGTAGATGATCTTCAATCCAAACTCCGTAGTGATCGCGTTGCCGTAGCCGAGGGTCTCATGTTCGGCTGCCTCTGACGACAGGCTGCTGTTGGGAAGGATGATAGAGATTTCTGCAAGTAACAAGCCTATACAGAAAAGAGACTGATCCCAGTCGCCGATACGAACAAGCCAGAAGGCTGTACCCATAACGCCAACCAGGTGAATCCACCGTTTTGTCCGAGCAAAGATAAGTAGAAGGAAGAATACGAGCAGCGAACCTTTGAACTCAACAGGTATTGTCCATAGATGTCCGTCATACTCGCTTCCTCCCATGTTCTCTCTGTTAATGATGGGTCGAAACGGGTTCGATAAATTGATCGAGCTCCAAAACCAGTGCCGTAGCTGTTCAGTAAGGGTTTGTCCTCTCGGTGGGATAGGTGCTCCTGATGGATCTCTCATATAGTTCCCCCAATAGACCAGAAGAGCGATGATGAATGTTGAAGCAAAAATGGGAAGATATAGTCGCAAAGGGCGGCGGAACGCGGATCCAGCTAGTACACTCAGAGCCTGGTCTACCTTGCGGTTGTGAATCATCGTCAGGGTCTTCAGGGTGAGAACGAAGCCCGAGATGACGAAGAAGACAGTGACGCTAGCTCGTCCTGAGTGCAAAGCTCGAATGATGGGCATCTGCCAGAACATGTGGTGATCTTCGACACCGTATCCCCAGCGAAGGTCCGGAAACCAAAGGTAAGAATAGTGAAAGATGTAGACGACAAAGGCTGCGACACCTCGGAGGCCGTCTAAATATGCTGTGTGGCCCAGCTTTCTTCGCTTGAGTCCGTTGCTCGGGGCCGTGGTGAAGTAAATGAATGCGTTGACGACGAAAGCAGGAAGTAGAAGTGCAGAGAGCTCCAGGACGGAGACCAAGCGGCTCTTCCATTGGAGGTCACCACCGGAGTGTAGATGCTTGTCAAGGAAGGACAATACTGGGTTTTTCGTAGATCCTAGCAAAGCGAGAGAGTTATCGTTAGTATTTGTATTGTTGCTGGACTCGTCCATGGCATCCGTTGATTGTGGAGTTTCGCCATTGTGCCTCGCAATGAGGGAGTATTGTTCGTACGTGTCTTGTGGAGCGTACGAAAAAGGGTTGGGGAAGTGCATAATGAGGATTAGTAGGAGTAAGCAAACCAGATTCTCTACTTGCTAGAGACACAGTAGGACAAGTAAGATCAGTACGAGCATGGGATTGAGTGATGGTGTCCTCAGGGTGTTATATAAGCTCGATCTGTTGATGCCACGGTGAAAGCGGCTGGCACGAAGTATACGTGCTAACATTGTTCATATGTGACTATTTGTCTCCCTTGGCGAAAATCCCGCCCACTCGCGACTATCATGCATCCAAATTAGGGGAAGAATTTGCGAGGAATTCGCACAGGAATCTCGAAAGGAATCTAGGGATGGGTTTCAGGGATTGTAGTGGACCCGGTGTGCCACGCTATGTCTCGCCATCAGGTTCTCCCTATCGCGAGATCTCCGCCGTGGCGCGTGTGAGCCGTAGCAAGCAGGTCGTGCATATTTAGTGCATTGCTTCCAGTGTCAATATCTAGTCAGGAACGTGAAAGCATATGTCGACTGGTCTATCTACACCTGATTTTCGCATTGGTCAGGCCTAACGATTTCAACCTAAGGTAGCCCTGGCCAACTATTCCTTCCCCTGTTTTATGGTGAGGTAGACGACCTAACAATAGTTAAAAGGGGGTCTCAAGCAGTAATCTATAATATAGGCTACCCGACCTCTATACCTTTTATTTAGTTTACGTAATATATTATTTTATAGATATTATATATACTTTTATTTTAAGATATTATAGGCTTAAAATACTTAATTATATAAAAAGTTAAATCCCTTTAAATAAATATTTATTAATTTACTAAACTCTAATTACTATCCCCTCTCATTAATATCCGCTTAACGTTCTATTATAGAAATTCTTTTAAATTATAGCTTTGTATATAAATAGTTAACTTTATATTTTAACTAACTAATTATGACCAATAGATCTATAAGGATTAAAGCTATAAAACTTAAGTAATAATAAAAAAGATCATTAACTAACCTTAAAAAAGACTAATCTTAGAAATTATAAAATATGTTTTAAGTAATTGTATGTTTATTAAAGAGAATTTAATAAAAATAGCTAAAAGTAATTATAGAATCTTATATAAAGTGAATAATCAAGCGCATTATAAAGGGTGTTTTGAAACTAGTTCAAATTTAGTTTATATTTAAATTGTAATTGAAGTATGATTTTAAATTTATGTTTTTATAATATATATTAATAATTATTAAATACGTTATATCCCCTTAGTGGAGGCATCCCTAGGGCACTAATATATATCATATATTATATAACTAGAAAACTAGATATATTATACTAAATGCTTAATTACTAACTTCTACCCGACTTTTTATCAAGTAACTTTATATTTAAATGGCTAACTTTATTTACTTTAATATATATAAGACCTCTTAATAATAACTTACATAAATAATTAAATAAGTATAATAACTTTTTCTTCTATTAACGTTTATAGATTTTTGAAATAATTTCTCTTCTTTACGATATAAAACGTCTTTATAAAATTAGTTTTATAAAATCTAATTTTAAAACTAGTATTAGATTAACGTATTTTAATATTATATTTATTAGTTTCATATATAAGATTTATAAGCTTATTTAATTAAAGACTATACTTTTAAAAGTTATTTATTACGACTTAATACGTATAGTAAAGCCAGGGTCCTACCTTAGAAGACCGTAGCGGCTACTATGTTATATATATATAAATACGGACTTAAAATAACTCCTCTCAAAATAAAAGAATTATAAATAAACTACGTAACTATAATTATATAATAAAATAAAAAACGGACGTTTATAAATAAATAAGACGGATATTTATAAATAAATAAGACGAATATTTATGAATAAATAAGATAGTGTTACGACTTAATACGCATTATAAGACTAGGGCCTTGCCCTATAAAGACCTACGGCGGCTACTATACTATATATATAGAAGTACGAACTTAGGATAATTCTTCCCAAGACGGAAGAGCTATAGATAAGTTACGTAACTACGATTATATAATAAAATAAGGAATAGACGCCCGTAAATAAATAGGACGGACGATTATAAATAAATAGAACGGACGACCGTTTAGTAAACTATTAAATAATTATAAATAAAGATATTATAAAGGATATATTTAAGGATAAGACTTATATATAAGATAAACTTAAGCCGGACTTAAAAATAGACTTTTTATAGCTTCTTTAATAATTAACTTAATATTAAATTTTATAATCGTTTTTAACTATCTTTATTAAGAACCTTTTTAATAAAATTATAATTAATTATTAAAGCCTTATTTATTTTACAATTTATAAATATAGTTTTAAGGAAGCTATTTACGATTACGATATATTATTTTTTAATATTATAGCCTTAATATTTATAAATATATTTATTACGACTAGTTAGCTATAATACTTTAATTGCTTTTATTTAGTAAGTTTATTTTATAAAAGACTAACTAAATAGTATAAATATATTAACCGTTAATAGTAATAGTACTACGTAGCTTATATAAGTAGCTCCGCTAACTATTTAATAACTATATAATATAATACTTACTTTTAAAAATAAAAATAAATAGATTTATACTTAACTTTTAATACCACGACCTTTTTTTATATTTAAAGCTAAGTACTTTAAACCGGAACCTTATAACGGGTCCCCGGATATTTTTAAGGATTTCTTACCTAAACTATGGCCTATTTATATTATTACGGAACCTCTTTCTTTATTAAAAATAAATAAGGTTTATTATATAGCTTTATTCTTTAAGAAAAGTACCCTTGCTTAATTTGAACTTTTTATAAAAGACTACTTAGAGAATATATATAAACTTTAAAATAACGATATTAAAAAGATCTTTAATAATTATAAAGAGTTCGAGAAGAGACTTAAAAAGACCTTTAGTAACCCCGATAAAGAACGAATTACCAAATAAAAACTTATAATTTTTATTTAAAAGGCCTTAATTAATAAGTATACTTCGGAATTCTAATAGACTACTTTTAAATTTAATTAGGGTAATAATATATTTATAATAGCTTTTTATTACGGCTTAAAAAAGAAAGTTAAGGACGAACTCTTTTAATAAGACCGACCGGACGAACTTTATAAATATATCGATATAATAGTTAAGATCGATAACCGACTTTATAAACGACGTTTTAAACGTAAAGGATAGAGTACCTAGAATAATTAACCTAAACCTAATATAGGACGTAAATGTAGATTAATAATTACTATAAACGGATATTATAACGGACTTATAAATCTTAATATTATTAAGAAAAAGTAACTTTATTAGAAAAAGAAATTTAAATATTATAATTACGATAAAGCTAGATATATAGCTAGAGATTACCGATAACTTAAGCGTATTTAATATTAATTTATTTTAGAAAAATAAACTAATTTTACGATTAAAGAAGTTCTTTATATATAATTATTATAGATAATCTATTATAACGATAACTATTTTACGTATTAAGAAAGTAAAGAATAAATAGGATAGTACTTTAAAAAACTTAAAAATAAAGGTCGATTAGAATACGATATTATATTATTATTAATTAAGACCTTAGTAGTAGTAAGAAAAGAAGAAATCCTAATTAAGTCTATTTATATAATAAGATGAGAAGATAGAAATAAAAAATTTATTTATAAGGTTAAGGAATAACTTAAAGATCTATTATGCGAAGATAGAATCGAAGTTATTAAGAGATTAGATCTTAATTTCAAAAAAGTTAAAGGAAAAATCGACTTTTAAATTAATAAAGAATTATAAGCTAGTTTTAGTAATTTCGTTTTTAATAAAGACTTACTTTACGATTTAGACGAATTTTATAATATTACTCGATAATATATTTAGACGGAAATTAGTTAAGGATCTTATTTTAATATTAACAATACTAGTTTTAGAAAGGATTTTGACGAAATAAGATACTAGAATATCGACCTACTTAATAATAAATAAACTTTATAGTTTTATAAAATAAGGGAACCTAAAAAAGTATTAATAATATCCCAAACTAAAAAAGATTACTTTTTACTTAATATTAAGAATATATTTTATAAAGAGTTATTTTAGGTAGAGTACTTAAATAATAAATATTTTTAATACTTCTTACTTAAAAAGAATAATTAATTCTACCTATAAAAACGTAATAACTAACCTATTAAGGACGTCTATATTAACAATTAATTACCGAACTAAATATTTATTTATTTTAATAAAACCGATAGAGCGACTTTCGGACTAGACCTAAGCTTTTTTATAAGTTATTAATATAACTAAGATATAGACTAGTATAAATATAGATATAATTAATATTAAATCTATTATATTTATAAAGTATAAATATAAAGAGAATAATAAGAACTAGTTAAATAAAAAGACCGATTAAAAAAGAGAATAGTAAAAACCTAAAAAAGCTAATTGTAAAAGAACGACGAGAGGCGAATATTAAAAATAAGTTCCTATATATAACTAGATAATATAACGATATATACTTATTAATTCTATTTAATATATATAAATGAAAACTACGTACTATAATCGATAGCGGTATATAAGAAAGTTATATATTATTAAAAATAATAAATAAACTCGATATATTACAAATATATAAAAATAACCTATATCGACTATAAAATATAAAAAGAAAAAGAGTTAGCTATAATAAAGG